AACGTTATAGCCGATTATTACAAATCTAAATTGAAGGTTTTTTTACTCGAAAGAGACGTTAAACCTGTTGTACCATTTGAAAGTGATCAAACAGACAGTTTCATTGATACTTTTACAGCAAAGATATTACCTACCGCTTCAACTATCATGGAAAAACTAGATGGTGTTTTAAAAAAGAAATCTGTTAAAAGAAACATTGAATGAATCATAAAAGGTGGCACGTCTAATAAAAAAACATCATTTGTTAATATTTTACACGCCATTGTAACATTATTTATTTCAAGTTTTTTTAGTTTAGAAAAAGAAGAATAATGTGTACTAACGGTTCGTTGTCTCGTTATTTTAACATGATCTCGTTATTTTAACATTATTTTAACAAAATACATGTGTACTAACAATTCTTTGTCTCGTTATTTTAATAGTGAACCTTTTTTGAAAGATTATTTTGTAGGTGTTTACGCTTTTGACGAATTAAGTCAAACTCGAACACACGTTGACATTATAAAACGTATGGTAAAAAACGGATCTTTTTTCATATACAATAACGAAACTAGCAAAGAAAACGGAGAACATTGAAGACTTTTACTTAAATTAGACGCTAACCATTTTTTTTGCTTTGGTAGTTTAGGTAAGGAAAGCTGTTTACGACAAATTCCACTTTTTTTAAGAAGCAATAGACATTTGTTTGAAGCTATAGAAGAAATACAAACTAACATACAAATAAACACTTTAAACATTGTTTACATTGAGATTGAAATAAGTTCTTACATGCGACAAACTTATCACTTTCCTTACGAGTGGACATCCGATAACCATGAATTTTATTGGTTTACAAAATTTATATTAAAATATAGTTCGATGACTGGTCAACAAACTATTTTGTTTTCTTATAACAAAACTTGTTTTCAATGGGAAAACAGTAGTTTGTGCGGACCTTTGCTGCTTATTTTATATCCTTATTACCAAACTATCTTATTGATGGTCAAATTTATTTACCTTGGTTGTGCAGATTATTGAACTCTCACTACTATGAAGTTTCGAGTCTTCATGCTTCCTAACTAACTCAAATAAGTTTGCTTCCATTTTTTCACTTTATTAGAAATAAATTATTTAAACACTTGGATATTACTGCTAAACTACTTTTTGAAAAAGACATGAAGCTACATCTCTATTTAAGAAAAAACGAGAGTCTGGTACGTAATAATGTAACAATGAAAACAATGATAATTCCTATAGAAAATGATATTTTTAAAAATGAGGTCATGACCAATAACAAAATTAGAAGTTTTTTAAACGATGCCAGATTATTGAGAACAAACAATGAATGTCAATGGAATAAAATATTCATTCAAGATATCAATGCTATTAGAGACGTTATGAACGAAGAAAACCTTGCTTTAAAACAATACGAAAATATGAACGATATGTATTTTTTCGACTACAGAAGATTAAAAGATATAAACAATTTTATTGATGTTCCTCTTGATGATGTCATGACAAAAAAAGCAATAAAAACTCGCTTTGTTCAAAATTTAATATAAAAAAATGTCAACAACAGACGTGCAGAAAGCAGCTATATGCAGAATTAAAGAAAAATTTATGGATGAAATATGTGAATCGTGTGCTGGTCACGGAATAATATACATAGTAAACTTACAAGATCCAAAATTATTAAATATGTTAAAAGAGTGTACAACTACAGTTTTCACCAACGAAGTATGGCTACTATATAAACCAAATCAAACGAAATTTGAAATAAAAACAAACAAGCTACAATGTGACGTTTGCAAAGGAAAAAAAAAATATTATTAAAAAAAACAAAAATTTGTAAGACTAAGAAAGAACAAATAAAGTTCACATTGTATTTTAATTTTATTTAAAAATAAATGTTTTTTTTTTTACATAATAATTTTGTTTAATATACTTCAAAACTTGAATCCGCAGGCTTATATATGTTAACGGGTGGTTGAGTTGCAACTGTTTTTGTTACAGTGGGTGTTGATATCTTTCCTTTCCATGCTTTTCTTAAACTGTATAATAACGAACCCGCTTTTAAAACATTTGTTACATTTTGAGGTGTAACGTAGTCTGATAAACCACGAGCGCGATGTTTTCGTTTAACTTTACGAGTACGTCTTTTTTTTATTCGCATTCTTCTAACAACCATATTGATAATGAGTCCTTTATAACTGATACAAATTCGTCATATCTCATACTAAATGGTTTTTGATTTTTAAGCATTTCATCTTCATATATAATACCCAGCAAACACACGACGTCGTGACGACGTTGAAATTAGGTTATTTTTAGGTTATGACGTCGGACGACCTTGTAATGACGTCGCTAGGACGTCGTTTTAACGACGTCTTTTAAAGACTCTTGTTTAGACGTCGCAGGGACGTCAGTTTTACGTCGTCTTTTAAAGAAACCATTTATCAGATTTTTTTTTTTAACTGTTGCGTTCAGGTCCGAATTACTTTTTTTTTACTTCACACACTTATAATATAACTTTAATGGAAGCTTTTTCTAAAAGAAATTGAGAAAAATGAGCAGAAAAGAATATATGAAAAATTGGAGGAAAAAGGATAATTTATTAAGAAAATTTCTATACGAGAGTGACAAAGATGAAGATTTTTTTGAAAAAAAGTTTGAAAAACAAAAGCCATGCCACATAGAAGACTCATCCACTCCGAATAGTTCTTTGAATTGTACTACAATTTGTAGTAATCATTTAAATCAACTAGAGTCTTCGAGCCAGCTTGATTCTTCCATTCAACACTACTCTTCTTGCGAACTTTATTTTTCCAGTCAGCTTGATTCTTTCAGTGAATTTGATTCTTCTTCAAGTAGCGAAGAAAATGTAGTAGAAACAGATGTGAGTAATAGTGTGCTTGACTCTAAAGAGACATATTTTATTTTAAACTTAAAAAAATGGTTTATTAAAAATAGAATTACTCATACAGCAAGTAATGAGCTACTTTCTCTTTTAAGATGCAGTGGACATTCAGCTTTACCTAAATCTTCTCGTACTTTGTTAAAAACTCAACGCTGTGTTTTGATAGAAAAAAAGTGTGGTGGGGAGTATATTTATTTAGGGTTAAGGAATGGTATTATTCGAACTTTCAGAGAGAATCCTTTATTCCCAATTGAGAACAACATCATATCTTTATTGGTAAACGTTGATGGTGTGCCATTGCATAAATCTTCAAACTCACAACTTTGGCCTATACTCTGCCAGTTTAGTAAGTTTACTCCATTTATTGTTGCAATTTTCTATGGTAGCCAAAAACCAACAAACTTAAAGGTTTTTTTTATATGATTTTTTAATTGAGTTTGCAAATTTAAGAGCATGTGGTTATGATAAAGATGGAGTTAATTTATTGGTTGAAATCCGTGCATTTATTTATGATGCTCCTGCTAGGCAATATCTTAAATGTGTTAAAGGTCACACAGGTTATTATAGTTGTGAAAGATGTGAAATTAAAGGTAAGTTGTTTAGAATGATTTTAGATAATACAAATTGTGTGCCTCGTACTAACGATTTGTTCAAGCAGTATTTGTATAAAAACACACATCAAATAAGCCATAGCATATTAATTGATTTTAATGTTAATTGTGTTGATAATTTTGTCTTAGATTATATGCATTTAGTATGTCTTGGCGTTGTCAAACGAATACTTATTTTTCTAACCAATGGTCCTTTACCATATAGATTAAGTTCTGCTCAATTGTTGAATATATCAGAAAATTTGTTAAAATTTAGTGGTAAATTTCCATCTGAGTTTGCTCGTCAATCAAGAAGTTTATATGAAGTAAAGAGATGGAAAGCCACTGAGTTTCGGCAGTTTATGTTACATACTGGCTTTTTAGTTTTAAAAGATGCCTTTACACCTGAGCGTTATCAGCATTTTCTTTCTTTAACTCTAGCAATTTTTTAATAATTTCATTCATTTTTCCAATAATTTCATTCATTATTTGCCATGTGCGTTTTGTGTCATTTTTAAATGTATTGAGTAATTGAGAGTAATAATTTTTATTTAGATTTTTGCGAAATTTTTCAAATAGGTTTTTGTAGTCCTTGTAAATTTTTTCGTTTTTAGGTGTTTTTGTTTTCAAAAAATTTATATATAGTTTTTGCTTAATTTTGGACGATTTTTTTACTTAAGGTTAATGTTAATTAGAAAGTTTGTTTAAGATACCCGGGTACGGGTACTGCAACAAAATGGTCAATTCCGGGTACCCAGGAAAACAGCTAAATTACCGGGTACCTGACAGTGGTACCCGGTAATTTGGCTGTTTTGATATTGTTTTAAAGCCAAATTACCGGGTACCCGATAGTGCACTTTATAGATGACCGATTTACAAAAAGCCTTCGGCATCAACACTTGTTAAAAGTATCATACATAAAATACCCTACAAAAAGACATCGCGGACATGAAGATGTAAAAAAATACCCTTGAAAACAACTAATTTGATAAACATGGGATCTTTTCAAGTTAGAAGCTTATTGAAGCTTTCAAGGCTGTTCATTGTCAAATTTTAAAAATCATGAAATAATTTTTTAAGCTAATTGATTTTTATTTGACGTTGTTTTTATAGGTTGCATATGATAAAGCAAGGATGAAAACTGTATATTTAAAAACTACAAAAAACATGGTTTTAGAAAGATTTAATAAGAAGTTATTTTCTCCACATCTAATGACTCAATTTTTAACATCTGGGAAATTTATTGTTTTTATACGAAACTTGTAACTAAAAAGTTACAATGATGTGACGAGGAGGAAGGGGATGATCACAACGATCAAATAAAATAGCGTGGCGTGATTAATGGACAACCTCTACAGTAAAATTTTATAAATATTGCACTATTTCATTTTTTATTATAAAAAAGTTTAATTGGCTTTGTGCAAACGTTTTGTTGGTATTTACTTTTTAAATTAAAACTTTAAATTTTTTATTACATAACCATGGTCTTATCATAGAACTTTGCAAAAATGTATTTAATTACGAAATTTACGTTCTTTACCTTTGTCGCTTATATGACTAGTGCCGGCATCGAACCTTTTGGTTCTGAGCCAGAACTCAGAACCAAGCGGTTCGAGTTCTGGCACAGAATCAAGAGGTTTGACTTTATTCTTAGTATCACTAGTAGAACTCAAAAAAAATATTTTTGCTTTAATAAAAAAAACTCAAAAAAAATATTTTTGCTTTAATAAAAAAAAACACTATAAAAGCAGAATATTTTGATGATTGCCGAATAGTTAATTCAATTCAGTAGTATATTCAATAGTTAATTCAATTCAGATCCGATTTGCCTGGAATAGCCTTTCGATATAGAAAATAGCACCAAGAAATTAATGCCTCCTTCCTTACCAATGATGCATACTTGGCTAGTGCCACATTCAAACCACAAACATTCTGTTTTGAAGCCAGAACTCTAACCACTACACCACATTTGTTTGATAAACTCAGAAAGTTGAAAAACTCTATAAACTTCGATAAACTCAGAATGCAGTTAAATTATTTTTTTATTGATTCATAAAGAAAAATATTTATTTTTTATTTAAATTTAATAACAATCAACTTCAATATATATATAAAAAATAATGATAAGTTAACTTATTTAGAAAATTTTAAAATCATTGGTTCTTAGATGAATTATTATGAAGTTAATTATCAAAATTAAGTACAGAATTTATGTCATATATAAACTTAATCTAAAAATTAAACTCCTTTCAAAATTGATAGCAGGAAAACTACCTGAAAAAAAAGTTAAAAAATTGGTATAACTATCTTAATACGTCTCTGACCACCTAATGTTATTAACATGTTTTGGTAAATTAGTTTTTTTATCAATATTTGCAAGAGCAATATCCTAAACATATTTTGATTCTGAATGTAATGCTTTTGAAAAAACTAGAATTAAAAAGACATTAGCTTCACAAAACAATTTCTAAAAAAGCACGTGTACTGAAAACAAACTAGAGTAGAGCGCTAGAGTTGGCGCCTTAAGATTGGCCTGGTGTCGTGTCTAATAATTGAAAAAAAAATTAAAACTGACCATTAAAAAAAAAAAAAATTAGCTGCATTATTTATAATAATAAATTAAATTTAAATCAACAGAGTTTTGCGTTACTATTTCCTCCAAAATAATTCATAAATTAATGTAACAGAGTTGCAATTTTAAATTACAAACAATCCTGACTTTTAAGTAACAGGAAAAAATAAATACTAGGCACTATGATATGAGTTATTTAGCAAATAAGTTTTTGTTCTTTTAAATTTTATAAACTTTTTTGTTCCTAAAAATATTACAATGAAAGTAAATCTTAATTGTTGTTTAGAAATTATACAGTCTATGTGGGTATGTTTTTCCAACTTATTATACTTAATAATTCATTTGATTTTTTGAAAAACAATCAAATAGCAACATTTATAGATAACAGGGTAATCAAGATTTAAAAAAGTAAAGAGGTTTCTGAAACTAACTTATTCATATGCTTTAACCAGTCTAATCAAGTGTGTAGCAACACTACAAGAAAGTATGAAAATAAAAACTACTTCTAAAGCAGAGGGTTTGCAGAAACTCTTAATCCATTTTTAAGTGTCTTAGTAAAACTTTGATATCTAATGTAAAAAAAACTAATTTAACAATAATTTTATTTAACAATTATTTGTGACAAAATGAAAACTTTTTATTGTTAATAAACTCAAAAAATGAAAAGAGTAGACTTTGTTATTAATATTCACAACAGTTATAAAATAAGTTAACTTCAAAAATTATACAAGTGCATTTTTTAATGTTTAGCATGTTTAGAAGAAATTGAAATTCATTACACATTATAAAATAATAAATTTTTTAATAATAACTTTCTCCTTCTCTTGAAAACTAAATACAGTTCAACATTGAGTCATCATAAGGGAAACATAACTTCATAAAAAACTTGATAGCAAGTGATATAAAGATATTTAGTTCTTTTCATAATAGAAATTATAGCCACGATAGATATTGCTGTTGAAAGTTGTTGCTGTTGCTTGCATTAAGTGTTTTGCACAAAAGCATCTAATCGAAAATATGTGTTTACTATAAACTAAGTAATCAAAATTTATAGTGGTCTTCAAACCCAAAAAATCTTGAAATGATAGCTATTTTTGTCTAAAGTTCAGAAAAACATATCGCTGACATTATTTATGCAGCAAATAAAAATGTAAATCATAATTTATCAAGTGTAACTCATGATCTCAGAATATAAGCTGTGTTATCTTATGAGTTTATCTATATATATGTATATATATATATATTTACATATATATATATATATATATATATATATATATATATATATATATATATATATATATATATATATATATATATATATATATATATATATATATATATATATATATATATATATATATATATATATATATATATGTTGTGGCGTGCAAATAAAAAG